CTATCTCTGATATTAAAAGCACTTATTCCTACGAAAATTCCATTTATTCCATTCTTAAATATAGCTGACCGACATTAAGACTATATTTATTTATATATATATATATATATATATATATATATATATATATATATATATATATATATATATATATCTGGGATGTCTTTTCCCTAGTTTTGTGTGTGTGTGTGTGTGTGTAAAAGTATATAAAAATATAATAGAAAAATTGTGTAGTTTTAGTCGACCCGTTTCGTCCAATGTTCACTTTTTCATTGGACTAATGTAAAATCTGAGATGATCAAATCATGATAATATGCCAGTTTGTAAATAGCGATTGTTCCATCTTATTAATATTACTCTAATGCACCTTGGAAAACCATTGCAAATGAACATTCGCTTTCTTTTTTTGCGTCAAAGCCCTGTGCATATAACTTTGAAAGAGAAGTTGATTCAACGAGAAATAGTCAGGAGGCTATGAATTTCCAGAAACAGCATTCACAATCATTCAAAACACAACTGGATGTGTTTTAAGAGCAAAGAAGACCAAAAGACATGATTGAAATAATAGAAAAGCCTCGGAGCGGAGTGCAATCCAAAATTAACATCCAGGCAAGTGAAGAGTAAATGCAGTTTTAACAGTGATATTTCAGTTGATGCAATATACAGAGTATTACGAAAAAACAACTTGTACTGACGTATAGCAGCAAATAACATCATTATCAAAAAAAAAAAACAAAAACAAAAACATCGGAATAGAAGATTGAAGTGGTCAAAAAAGCATTAAACTTGTGTTGTGGATTCCGAAATGAAATTCTGTCTCCAATGAATGACAAACGCAAGAATTAAAGATAAGAAATTAAATGTATTTACACAATAATACAATGGGTAATACTGTTATTAAATCCAGGAACGCGGTTAGTAGCAATAACACACACACACACACACACATATATATATATATATATATATATATATATATATATATATATATATATATATGTAAGCAAATGTAAATGGATATAGATCCGACAGAATGAAGAAAAATTTGGAAAAAACAAACAAAAATCCTTAAATGCAATTATGTTGTTTAAAATGAATGAAATGTCGACGTCTGACGTTTCGGTTTAATAAACCTTCTTCGGGACAATATTCATTAAAATACAATTCAGTTCAATTTGACAAAGACGATGGACATAAAAACAAGTCTTATCCAAAACAGATAACTGAAAATTTTAAAATGATCAGCTTTCCGTTTAGCATGGTCACGTTGTCGTCACATGGGCGACGCTTTCAAAACGCATTCCTAAAAATTTTTGATTATTTTGAATGAAAAAGAAAATGAAAAGAATTCTATTAGGATCTAAAAATTTTTATGTGTATGCTTGTCGAGCATCAATCTCGCTAAAAAAGGGGGAAATATTAAAGAAACCAGGTCTCTGTATTCACCGTGCGTGAGATGGATATTATACCTGCTTCATAAATCCTCCCGAGATTTTTATTATGAAAATATTTTAATACCTTCACGGAATCGAAATCGAAATTATGATCTGCTTTAGTTGTGTGTATAGTCTTGAAGTAGGACTTCCTTAGAGTCTACGTGCTTGTAACTGACTTCTACAAGCGGTTACCTCACACTATTACTCTACCTCCAACTCAATCACAATCTCAGTCTTCTTACTATCAATCTCTACTCACTCTCACTGACTGTCTAACTCTGGGTATTTAACGGCAGCAGTCCAAGTAACACTTTGGTCGAGTCCACTTATATGAAAAAGGGGAGGACCCTATAACAACTTGGAATGCTAGAATATGACAAAAGTATATTTTCATAAGGTATGTAAAATAGAGTTACATTCTAATTCAATAAAATCTGTAGAAGACCAATTGTAGAGCGAAAAATTCAAGATGGCGGTGGATACGTAATGGTGGCGGGGTGCATCGAAAGCGATACCAGCAGAAACGTTAATTGAAATCTAAACACCGATAGCTATATAAGTTTACTACAGTCTAATCTTCTGCCAGACTGGGAAAACGGAGAAAATGTTCAGTATGATGAGCTCCCTGACACACATTACGTGCAACAAAGAGGTATCTTGTAGATGAAGATGTTCCTCTTCTGGAAGACTAACCAACACAATATCCCCTCCTAGATATGACGATAAACTACATCCGCGTCTTGGGTAAGACGATAAATTACATCCCGCAGCAAGGCCTCTGATCAGGAGGTTTTGAGGAGTGTAGAATCACCTCTTAATTGCTGGTGTTCCCAGGTCCACTCTGACCCGGGGTGGTAAAACTAGTTAGAGTCCCAGCTATGGACAAATAGTTAACCCCGAAACTGGGGAAAAACACTATGAAAGTGCAAAAATAGGTTTTAATACCAGAAATATTTTTGTGAAAAAATTATTACCAGCAATAAATTTTTGAAGGAAAAAATATTACTAACAATGTTTTTGAAGAAAAAATATTACTAACTATACATTTTGGAGGAAAAATATTACCAGCAATACATTTTTGAAGGAAAAATATTACCATAAATAGATTTTTGACAAAACAAAATATTACCAGCAATAAAAAATTTTCGGCATTAAATAACCCATTGAGGTGTTGATATGCCGTAAAACAAACCAAACCAAACCAACTCAATATCCTGATCTCAATATAATTGAACTATTGTGATGAGAACTGAAGAAAGAATTGTTCCAACGAAAACCACACAATCTCCAAGACTTTGGTGATTACTGTCAAGAAGACTTGGAAAATTCCGAATGAGAAAAAAACAAGGACATTGTTTCATTTAATGCTACATCGAATTAAGGCAATTATTCGAGCTAAAGTCAGCAACGCTAATTACTAACTGCATATTTTGTAGTTTTCTACTTTCGTTTATAATATCACTTTTTATAATAAAAAAAATCCTGTTGTAATTAAAGATAAAGGCTGACAGGTGAAAATTTCGCTGATGACCTGGCATTTTTGCATGGCCTTTTTTTTTTTCAGCATCACTCTGCTTAAGATGCCCTAACATGTACCATACAGCATTAACGAAACTGTATTAAGTTGATTTCTGACCCTCAAACATCATAGAATGTCGTTCATTTAAATCATTTACATCATTCATCATAAACGTTTTTATTGAAACCTCTACCTTGAGTGGCTTTTGTGCCTTTTATTGGTAGAATGTTTAGTATAAAAAAGAATTTACCAATTATCATCGTATATTGTAATCGATTTTGTGACTATGTCAGCGTTAATATAAGATTTAATATAGGCTTTTGAAATGTTAAATTGACATGGTAGAATAATGGATAGCGGCCCGGACTAAGGATTCGGAGAGACGAGTTCGAATTCCAGTCGAATCCATTACATTAACTTACGTGCTAATGCCCTTGGGAAAGTTATGAATCCTCTTCTTCTCCGCCCCAGCTATGGGAAAATAGACAGGTTTCTAAAGCCTTGGCCTTTCTAAAGCCTCTACTGCAGAAAGAAATGGTAACCTACTTCAGGAGGTCGAAAGATACATGACCTCCTAAACGTGTATCCCGCATGGCACAGAACTGACTGATTCAAACCATTCGTATGAAGGGTGGCAATAAACACAGTTAGTTATAATAAAAGAGTAAATCATTGAAGCAAGTGGCTCGAAGTTCGAAGAGTATCGGTAATTTTTTTTTTAAGCATTACGCCCCGAGCAAGGCGTAAAGCCACTAGGATGCAGGGGGTTGCGGAAGATTTGGAGCGAGAGCGGATAGGAGTGATAGAAGAAAGGATGAGGAGAAGGATAGTGGATAGATCAAGGTAACTGGAGATGTTGATTGACATTACATTTGAATAGTTGGAGATTATAGCTCTCAGGATAACAGTAATAGCGAAGGGTGTTCCACAGGCGAGAGGTGCGAGGTATGAAGCTATTGGAGTAGAAGAGACGGCTACGTTTAAAAATTCCGCCTTTCTTCTATATTGCGTACAGATTTTTTTTAATTGGCTCTCATATACACACAAGGCTGTGTTTATCGTAGTTTATAATAGAAACGAGCACTACGAACTACTAGATTATCTTTATGGTTTATCCAAGTGAGGCACAAGATCTTATGTCTGGTGTCCGCATTTAGCAATGTCACTACGCCTCATGATCTGCTCAACAGACTTTCTAAACATTGACAGAGGCAACGTGCCCAGGTGAAGCTTTCGATCGAAGTGTGATTATTACTAAGAGATGCAAAACAAAATGTTGACATCTCTCATTGGTACATCTCCCTTGCGGCTTGCAAATTAGACTCTTAAAAAAATTAAATAACACTCAATTATGATTGCCAGCAATATTTTCCCGTTGGGTAATAATAATAATAATATATGAGTAACATAAAAGAGAAACGGAGAAGAAAAGACTACTGCTGCTGCTGCTACACTTGTTTTTGCTGCTGATGTTGTTGTTGTTGTAGCTGACGATGATGATGCTTATTATGATAATGATGACACAAGGCAATAAAAATGGAGGAAAATACGTTGGAGAAGACTCAATATATTGAGTCTTCTCCAACGTATTTTCCTGAGAGAAGTAATATTGAGAACAAACACGTCAACATTAGTATGGTAATATCAGCCGTTTTCTTATAGCGATTTTCTAAGGGCTGCTTAGATGAGGCACAAGGCCGGAAGTATGGAGCACCCAGTGAGGATTGAACACACTACTCACTCGTGATATGTTCTAGCGAGACAAGCTTGCTAACTATTACACCACGCCGAGGTGCCCCAGCCGATTTCTTATAAGGGACATTCGACTGTCATTTACCAAACAGTCAGTGCTACTTAGTTTTCACTTTTCTCCACTCCGTGGCCATCGGGCTTGGATCAAAGAGGGATCTTTTCTGTTAATTCACCCAAAAATATAAAAAAAAAAAGAATTTATATTTACTAACATTCACACCAAAATTCAGTAAAGTTCTTTTAAATTAATTCAAAAATGCATTCATTATTTTTTTTTGCCTTACCTCACAAAGGGAACTCCCACAATTAAGTATCTATAGTATTCCTTCAGATCTATCTATCTATCTATCTATCTATCTATCTATCTATCTATCTATCTATCTATCTATCATCTATCTATCTATCTATCTATCTATCAGTCTGTTTAGTATTCATCTATCTATCTATCTATCTATCTATCTATCTATCTATCTATCTATCTATCTATCTATCTATCTCAGTCTGTTTAGTATCTATCTATCTATCTATCTATCTATCTATCTATCTATCTCAGTCTGTTTTAGTATCTATTTAGTCTGTTTAGTATCTATCTATCTATCATCTATCTATCTATCCATATCATCTCAGTCTGTTTATATCTATCTATCTATCTATCTATCCATCTATCTCAGTCTGTTTAGTATCATTCATCCATCTCATCTATCTATCTGTTTTAGTATCTATCTATCTATCTATCTATCTATCTATCTATCTATCTATCTCAGTCTGTTTAGTATCTATCTATCTATCTATCTATCTATCTATCTATCTATCTATCTATCTCAGTCTGTTTAGTATCTATCTATCTATCTATCTATCTATCTATCTATCTATCTATCTATCTGTTTAGTATCAGTCTGTTTAGTATCTCATCTGTTTAGTATCTATCTATCTATCTATCTATCTATCCATATCTATCTATCTATCTATCTATCTCAGTCTGTTTTGTATCTATTTATCTATCTATCTATCTATCTATCTATCTATCTCATTCATCTATCTATCTATCTATCTATCTATCTATCTATGCTGTGACGAGTCCTGAACATGAACTTATTCTTCATTTTGGTCTTTCTCTCTGTACTTTCCGAACGTTTGCGTATGAGCTGATGTTTCTGGATCAATGAAATCCATACTGTGATTTACAGTTTAAAATTTATAATTTCAAAACAGTGCCAAAAATTTAATATAAAAACAAAAAAAAATCTTTGATTTAAAATTTATAATTTCTTGTGTCGAATCGATATTTGCGATAAGTAACTTTAGATTATTTGGATTGAATTGACAGGAAAAATCCTCAAAGTGTAGCATGTGTTCTCTTTTCTCAAGGCACCGGTAATATTAGCCGTTTCCTTAAAAAGAAACATTCGGCATTCATTGATCGATCACCCAATTCTAACTCGTGTTACGCTTTCCTTCAACCTCTGGACTTCGGCCTGTGATCAAAGTTTAGTATCTGCCTTCGGATAATCAAACTACATTTTAGTAATTTTCCAACCCTGCATCAACACTTCCCTCATTGCATGAAAGAGATGTTCAGTGGAAATAACGATGTCAGCGCGACTTTGGTTAGAAATACCCCATGTGCACGTGCTTGGGTTCGTCACTTTAAACCGACCTTGTACCATAGCACATCATCTTGAGGGATGGAGTTAGCGAGTAAATACTAAGTCGAGTAACTCTTCTCTTCTCTCGTAATAATGGTAACATAAACTGTTTCATTATAAGGAGACATTCGGCATTTTTTTGATCAAGTAGCCAGTGGTACTCGAGTTACACTTTTCGTCACTCCCTGTCTATAAGGCTGGGAATAAAGTGTAATATCTGTTCTCCTCATCTTTGATGATAATGGTAATAGCCGTTTCCTTATAAAGAAACATTCGGTGTTCATTGACCGAACAGCCGGTGCTACTCTAGTTATGTTTCGTCCACTTTACTGGCCATCAGACGGAGATTAAGGTGTAGTATCTGTTCTCCTCATCTCACATGGTACTGGTAATAATTGCCGTTTCATTATAAAGAGATAGTCGGCACACATTGACCGAGCAGCCGGTTGAAATTTATAAAATCATTCTTTTAAAACAGTTTCTCAAGTAAATAGATTGCTCAAATATACTAGTTGCTATTGGTCTTTCAGGACGTTTTGTTTAAAATGGTGGAGAAACTATAATAACTATAGTTTTTAATACGCACATACGTAGGCAGGGTTAGGGTTATCAGCGCCTAAAATGAAATCGGATAATTGCTTTAAGTTTCGTACTAACAACCTCCTTTTAGGTTTGTATATCGTCCGGTTCTCAAATATGCCCTGTCTTTTAAACAGGAATACAGGGTTTTTTTCCCCTTGTTCACTTTTTAGGATCAAATTTCCGGTTCCTTCTGATGTCTTTTTTCATTCTCTTTCCCTCCCATAAAACAGGAATTAAGAGATAAACCTCTACTCCTTTTCAAAAGACCGGGGATGAGTGTGATTCGGACAACATACGAACGTTGCATCTTAGTGGCATTATCGCCTTACTTCGAGTGATTAAAAAAAGCAAAACAAGAAGTAAACAAAAAATAGCAGGGTTAAGTGGTTCTTTTAGACTTGTATTGTGGCCAGACAAAGAGGAGAAAAAAAATCTGAAATACATACACGAAGAGAGCAGCGAATAAACGACTCCACTGAATATTCTAAGAAATCATGTCAATTCACGAGGAATGAAATGCATGTGTGTGTGATGGTGTTTGTGTGTGTGTTCTATTTAAGTAGGCGAACACATATTTCTAGTGACACGTAGATTCATTTTTATTAAAACTGGAAGATCATACGTTGTACGTTGCTTTTTCATTAAAAAAGCAATCAATAAACCAATATCTTTATTTTAAAAAAATCGGTCCGTTCTCTCCGATTTTATTAGGTACGTATTCTTGCACATAACCTAACACAGACGCACAGACGCACACACACACACACACACACACACACACATATATATATATATGAAAGAGCATGACTTTCATATTATACATCGATTTTATAATGAAATCACATTTTCTTCATAAACTTGTTAAAGCATATTTCCTCGTTTCAAGAAACCTGGAATGGGGAATTACATTTTTCTGATTCCTTATTAAATATTGGCCTTTTACCTGATTGATCAAATTCTAAAAAATAGCTATAATTTCTATTCCACTAATGTCAAAGCACTTTTATCCCATACACATTATCTATCTATCTATCTATCTATCTATCTATCTATCTATAGATATGTTTAAGTGTCTCTCTCAGTTTTTGTTCTGATCTGAATCACTTCCACTATCTTTCCCTCTTCCTTTCCCCCATATCTATCTATCTATCTATCTATCTATCTATATATATATATATATATATATATATATATATATTATATCTTGATATGTGTCTCTCTGTCTCTGTCTTTCTTCTGAGCTGTCTCACTTCTCTTTCTATCTATATATTTATCTCTCTCGATATGTACAGCCTTTGTACGGCCTTTGTACTGATCTCTCTCCCCATCCTCTATCTTTCTTTCTCTCCCTCTCACTCACTTTTTAAATATATGTATATATATACACACGTAGACACACACACACACACACACACACATATATATATATATATATATATATATATATATATATATATATATATGGATGGATGGATGGATGACACACACACATACACACACATATATATATATATATATATATATATATATATATATATATATATATATATATATATAATGATAATATTAGGTAATCCATATGGATATTTCTAAGAGGATATAAATTCAGGGAGATCTCTATTTGAAAAACAGAGGAGCAAATAATAATAATAATAATAATAATAATTATACGAACTCTTAACATACATACCATGGTGATATTTATATCTTTAAGATCGGAAAATTCCGATCGCAACTCATCATATATATATATATATATATATATATATATATATATATATATATATATTATCATTATTATTATAATTAGAGAGACAGACAGACAGAAAGAGAGAGTGAGATGGAGAACAGATAGATAGATAGATAGATAGATAGATAGATAGATAGATAGATGTATTTTCCCCTTTCGGTCTCCTTTCAAAGCTCTCACCCTTACAATCACTTTATATCTATCTATCTATCTATCTATCTATCTATCTATCTATCTATCTATCTATCTATCTATCTATCCCATACTCTTTATACGTGTCTGATTCTGCTTATATCTTTCTATGTGTGTGTATGTGTCATGTCAGTTCTCATTCTGATATGTTTCCCTACCAGACTCTCTTTATCCCTCTCCTTCTATCTCTAGATGTTTGTATGTGCTGCTCTAGGTCATTCTTTAAATCTGTCTCCTTCCCCCTCTATCTCTCTATTTCTCTCTATCTCTATCTATCCTTCTATAGATACGTCTCTCTCTCTCTCTCTCTCTCTCTCTCTCTCTCTATCTCTGTATTCGTTTTCATTGGTTTCCCTTCCTTTGCTTCCCATCTAACACGCTATCTATCTTTAAATGTGTTCGTGTCATTCTCACTCGCTATTCCTTCTGATCTATCTATCTATCTATCTATCTATCTATCTATCTATCTATCTATCACGTCATTATCTCTCTCTATTCTATCTATCTCAATCTCTTCATCATGTATATATCTAGTTGTATACAGAAGTTAAAGTTATGACTATGCCATATGTATGGCTCGGTTATGTCCATAAACCAACATTAAACAAATAAATGATAATTACCTGCCAAATGTGTACGTTTCTACTCAGATTCGCAAACACCCACCCACTCATGTAAATAGATGCGTACAGATATATCAGAAATAACAGGAATATTTGTTCTTTTTCCCTTTCACCTATTCTCTTCTTCATCGTTTTTATTTTTTTTTAATTTATTCTGTCCACAATTTATGTCTGGACACGGAATACGCTAAAAATTCTCTTCAAATTTTGTTGTCCAGCAATTTTATTCAAAAAGTCAAAGGACTGTCATTTCTTGTCAAGATCATGTGGGTAAAATGGAGTTTAATATCGAATATATTTCATTGTAAAGATATTGCCAAACATAAACATTATTATTTAATTAATTAGGTATATTTTATAGGATCATTTATAAGATCCCGAAAGGTAAGTCACTAATCTGCCCTGCGTGATACACGCTTAGGCGATCATCTGTCTTTCGACGAGGCAAATCTTTCCCGCAGTAGGTTGCCAATTCTTTTTGCGGTATACCAGTTGCCATCCAAGGGTATAGAACCCACTTTGTCCTGCTATTTATTTTATTCATAAGGAGAAGAAGAGGATCCATACTTTTCTGTAAGTGAATGTAACGATTCGGCCGTTGTACGCTCCGGCCTTCTTCAGGTGGTTGGAATTTCGAACTGAACCCTTTATTTCGCTCACTGGGGTAGACTGTTCTAGTTCCACGTGCCATATTTGATGGATGTCAGTTATCAGTTATCGCCTGCTAATTTTCCCTCTGAAAGTTCTCCACTGCCTTAACCGGGTATTGAGCTCACATTCTTTGGGTCCTGTCACTGGATCTAACCAACGCCTTTATCCACTGTGCCATGTGTCCTTGAGGACGTTGTGACAAATATGGCGACAAAGATGAGGACAATAGTCCGACTAATGTAAATACTGTACATAATACCTCATCTCAGAAATATAGACAGATATTTTTTTATCTTGAGAATTTACAAGCGTATTATGCAATATTTATTTATATTTAAACTAATAGCGGTGTCAAGGAAAAACCGTTTTTTTTTTTGACACACCGTTTTTTTCGGTTATGAAAGTTCACATTTGCCAAAATCTATTTTATCTTTTTAAAATCTGTAAAATGGGATATCATTATCAAGCGAATGAGTTTTAGTTCTTTTTTTCTCTCTCTATGAATCTTGTTCACGTTTTTCAAAGAAACCCCAAAGATTATAGACCACGCTTACATCCCTCTTCATGGTAATGACGATGCAGTGGCAGAAAAAAATTGATGTTCGAAAACTTTATGGAGATGGTACTATTATTTTTAGTTCTGATTGTGAACTAACTTCTGTTAGCTCACGGCAACATCAACCATAACATAACATTACACATTCTTGACTTACTGATTTCAGCGTCCGGACCAACTTCCTCATACTGAATTACCTCCCTTACATTTTCATTTGACACCAGTTATTCTCTTGTGTAATGTACACGTTTCACCATACTATTTTTTCCTTCTCTCTTTGCATATAGGTATATTGAAGACACTTTACACTAAAATCACCTTAAAGCAGAAATTTTGATAGTAACTTTATGATAATTTAAATTTACAAAAAACTTTGTGAAGCTTATCTCTCTTGTTGATAAAGTTTTCTAACTTTGGTGACACTTAGGTGTCTTGACACTTTGTTTTTTTCTTTTTTGACACGTAACCTTTCATGTACAGAAGCTTAAGGTTCCCAAAAAATGTTGATAAGAGATTTCTTAAAGCGATTTTATTTCCTCAGCATTATATTTTTAGTTTTCAATCAGCAATCATAAATTGTATTCTGCTGTTAAGAAAGAAAATTGTAGAAACGAATATGTAAATATCCACTGCTTGACTACAGAACAACTAAGATTACTGATTGGAATCCTAAAGTAACAACAACAAAAAAAAGATTAGTTTGCAAAAAAATAAATGAAAATAACACCTTAGATCTTTATATAAAATGTAGAAATTAAAGCCACTGTGTCCAATATGTACAGTTGTGTTGCTCTAATAAAATTCTGTATATACAGAATCATGTAAAAAATTTGTTTTCTCCTCCTACACCTCCGACATTATGCCACGCAATTGTTTTGCACCATGTATTGTTTGTTATTGTTATCATTGTTAATGTTGAAAATGGTGTAAAGTTAAAAATCGATCTCAAGCCCCAGATCCGTAGATCTTTTTTGGATCTGGAAATTTCATTGAAAATAAATAAAACAAAAAATATCGCCCGAAATGCAATATAATTCGTGTAACGCATATTATAACAACTAATTAATCTCCGTGAAAAAATCACGAACTTATTTATTTTAGATTGGAGTTCCTCAGATTGGACATGCTGCGTTTTCAAATTCTAAAATAATGCATCAGATTCAAAATGATATTTTCAATGTATGGTCATGACACATACAAGAAACCAAACATTTTTTGTGGTGGTGGGGGGGTCTTGAAGAAATTCTTTCGTTTCTTAAAAAAAAAACGAAAAAGAAAATTAGACTTTACTGACGTTCATTTCTGAAGCAGTCACACATTCAAATTTAAAGTCGGACACGGGAGAGAAGTAAAAAAATCTAAGAGAAATAAAAAGGAACTTATTCAGTGTTTGGTAGGGAGAAATTCTTTTGGATGTTAATGTTGCGTAAAACCTTCTCCTAAAACTAAATTATTTCGGCAACTTCACAGTTGCAGTCTCTTATTGCATGAGTTACTTGCTATTGGAAATAAAGAGAAAGATGCAAGAATACCCACCTATAGGTGGGTATTCTTGCATTTTTGCTTGTAGAAAGGATAAAGACACTGATAAACTATAAAAGCGATAATAACGCAATGACGATAAGAATTATTTCCGTACTAGCCAGTACTAAATTTACATATAGGCTTAGCCGGCATCAAAATCTAGTTGTGGGGGTCTAGCCAAGGTGTATAAAAAATTTAACACTATCATAGACCTCCCTTGCACTCTAAACACCACTTCTGTAATTTTAAACATTCGTCATCATCCTCGGATTTACTCAAATTGTTTAATTTAGCACACTTCCATTTTCTTCTAGTGGTGAGAATGGGGGATTTGAAGGGGCGTCACAAATGGAATATTCTAGGGTTTCTCTTCATGTAAATACGGCCATGGTGATAGCAAACACAAATGAGCAGAGGTGAATAAAATATTGCCATAAATAATATGGCGGATTCTGTAAGTACAAGAAATTTGGACATTATCTGTTCATCTCGAAAGATGAATTGATGGAACATACAGAAATCTACTTAGAAAAATCCAGAACATCAGTTGGAATTCCCATGCAACGCTTAACACCATTTACGGAGAATTAAGACCAACCTCTCTTAAGCTCAGACAAAAACGATTGACGACCATTGTCGGCCGATCGGACAGGGAAATCGTCTCATCTATGGCATCCTTCTGGAAGGGTCTTCTCACGAAAATTGGCTTTCGCAGACACCATAGGTCGGGACTCGGTGTTGGACACTGAATATCTGGAGATACTAATACAGGACCGAACTGTGGGGAAAACGATTGCAAATAGAGACTAACCAACCATAACAAGGTCAAAAGATGATGGTCTTGATGAAGCACAAGACTGTTGAGGCAACGATTGGTTCATTTGCCTTAAGTTGAAATCAATTTTCAATACCAAATCAGCCTGTGGGCAAACGTTGAACTTCACTATTATCAATTTTTTATTAAAAGTAATGCTTTTTATGCGATTAAAGTTAATCTATAGAAAAAAAAAAAAAACTTCAATTTAAAATGATTGAAGCAAAATGTGGTCAGACACTAGCTATTAACACCAACAATTTTAAACGTACTAATAATTCTTGTTTGGAGCGTTAGTAGAAAAAAAATTTGAGCTGAAGGGAGTATAAGTCATCTTTGACAAAGTAGAATAATATTTAATAAAATTTATTAGGAATTACTAGAAGGATAACGACTAATAAAGAAATATAAATTATCAATAAGGTTTCATGCTCTTTGCACAGGCATTTTTTAGGGTATAGTTTTGTTTCTGTATTCTTTTGCTGTCATAATAGCTTAGCGTTCCACTTTTGTTAATATTATTTAGTTTTCCAAAGATAGTAATACTTCAAATAAATTATCCTAGTCGAAAACAAAAAATACTTCTCAAAAAATAATTTGCAGAAAATTTAATAGTTGAGTCTATTTTTTTCTTCCGCTTGTGCTGTTAGGCGTTGCGGGGAGACAGTCATCTGTCAGCGGTAAGGCGAGTGGCCTGGAGGAGAGAGATTGTGTGTCTGCCACTGAGTCTCTCCAGCGTCTTCTTGGTTTGCATCTCACTCTCTTGCCAGAGTACCTGAGGGTGTATGCTCGTAGAACTGGTTGTTTGATACGAGTGACGTGACCGAACCATTTGATCCTCTGTCGTTCGATGTGTTGGAGGATTGGTATTGCTCCTACCATATCTCTTATTGCCTCATTTGTGATCTTGTCTTGCCTAGTCTTGTTCACTGCTTTCCTCAGACATTTTACCTAACAAGTGATCAGTTTCCTCTCAAGGGTTTTTGTTAGAGGCCATGTCTGGCATTGGTATGACAACGTTGGTAGGAAAATGGCGTTGACGAGAATTGCCTTGGTGCTCATAGGAATGTTAGGATGTTTTGCCTCCCCACCCACTCATCCTCGTCGTGGGAGGTGGAGACAGGTAGTGTTGGCTAAGGGGGCACTCCTGAAGCTGTCACTGACTGAGCAGGCCGTCAGTGGATAAAAATTACTCAAGGAAACAAAAAGAGAAAATTTAATGCTAAATAGAAAAGACCATGTCAGTTTTTCAAACTTTGAAATGCCAACCGTAAAAACAGTTTTTTTTTATTATTCCCTTGCTTTCTCATAATTTGCAGACATTTTTATTAAACGAATGATATTTGATGCTCTTAACAACCTGAGACGTGAAATTTCATTCCA